GACGATAGTCAGTTCCAGTTTCGCTTTAGCGATGATAACCCTGTCAATTGCACCATCCGTGGGCCAGACGGACGGGTACTCTACCGCGTTCAGACGACGTTCTCGAACGGGACCGTTACCACCGTCGAGCGTCCAGATGGAGAAGTCTTAGCTGCTCTCCATTGGTCTGATATGGGCTTTGACAAGGTGGCGGTCGGCACAGAAAAGCCCGTACGCCTCGGCAAGTTATTGCATTCTGGACCCCTTTTTAGCGAGTAAGTGGTGTCAAGTAAAGATATTCTCGTCCATGTTGACTTGGAGAAATTCAGGACTGTTTCCTTTCGCGACTCTCAAGGACGCAAGTACCAATGGAAGGGAAATAGGGCTGGCATGACACTTCGTGTGAGCACTATCGCTTGTTCAGTATATCTATCAGAGTATCCTTAACAATAGACCTCGTGGCGTTCATATAGCTTTATGCAGCCGACACCCCAAACTCTCCTATTGCGGCGTTCTCAAAGTCTCGTCCTAATCGTGACACAGGAACTGTGAGTACTATCCCTAAAGTTTATCATCTCTCATGCCTTAAGTGGGGCTCTTTCATTTAGCGTGCTCCCGCCTTCTTAACCATTCTCCCTCGCGGTCAGGAGATCCTTGACATGGTTGTCTGGAGTTTTTGTTTCTTAGAAAAGAGACGTCGAGCTTCAGATTCTGGTTATGGATTAAAGGGGCCAACATATGCACCAGTTAGTAAGTGCCACATTGATTATTCCAAAGAATCTGCCATTTCTAACTGCGAATGCCTTTGTTTGACATTGACAGCCTAAATTTTGGAGTGAAAGAAAGAAATATCTGTCTACGATGCGGAATTTGTCAAGGCAGCCAACCGGTCGTGCTCATCAATGTCCCTGCCAATGTGTCAATAGCTGTGTACAGCAAATTTGGAATAACATACTTCATTTCCCAAGGATAATCGAGCCTGTGATACAACGTATGAGATGATATCGTTCTATAGACGGACGTTACGTACCAGACATCTCCCACTTCGGCTCCAGTGTAGTAAGGAATATTCGAGGGCAAATCCTTTGCTTTGGGCTTCAGCTTATTGTGAACCACGAAAATTGCAAACTTTGTCCTTGCAGCTTCACGTTCGCTCTCTGGCAAGGTCTCGAGCTCCTTTTCAATATCGTTCTGGAGCTCGGTAACGGCATAGCTATGCACAAGAGTATTCGTCTCAGTTGATCGGAATCACATGGGATTACACTCACTGCAAAGTGGTCCTCGAGTCGTCGACTTCATCGACAATGAGGGCACGCCGGCCCAGAAGGCCTTTGGAGGGACCGAGCCACTGAGTTCGGATCACGGTCTGGCCGAGTTGCTCCTCTGTCGTGTCCGGCAAGGACTCGTAGAGGGATAATCCAATAGCTTGGATTGGAATATTTCTCTTTGTGGCCGGGTCTTTTAAGAAAGTTCTCTGTTAAAAGTGCGACGAGTCAGAACTGGGCGTCTCAATGAAGAAAAACCACTTACCATCACTCTAGCAGGGAAAAAGCCACTACATAGCGCAGAAGAAAGACAATCAGTAACTTTATGTTCTTTATTCTTCGTCTACTAACCCTCCTCCTATGGAAATAGAAGAGTAAAGGGTCAGTGGTCATAACCAATTCAGATGTGGCACTTGAGCTGCATACCAATCGCGATAATCACATCTGGCTTGAATTCGGCCTGAATCCGCTCAGCAGCCTTTGCAATCATCTTGTGAATGTCGTTATAAGTGCATCGGGCGTGATCATCTGCCATCTTGAGTCGAGGTTGAG